ATTCTGCTTAGAAATCCACTGTGAATCCAGTTTTGGTCGCCATGATATAAAAAATGTTGTTGAGATTCTGGAAAGAGTGCAGAGAAGAGCAACCCAAAGGATTAGGGGACTGGAGGCTAAAACATATGAAGAACAGTTGCAGGAGCTTGGCCTGGCTAGTCTAATGAAAAGAAGGACTAGGAGTGACATGATAACAGCCTTCCAATATTTGAGGGGCTGCCATAGAGAGGAGCGGTCAACCTCTTTTCCAAAGTACCTGAGGACAAAACAAGAAACAATGGATGGAAACTAATCCAGGAGTGAAGCAAGTGTAATTGTTGTAACAAGGTGTAAATCTGATGCCACTGGATTGTCTAAATTTCTTGAGACACCCTGCCCCGCCTTTTTTTTTTTTTTTTTTTGCAACCTTGGAGGACATTTGAGACAAGGAGTCCAATCCTTGCTCTAGGTAGGACTCTACCTGAAAGCTTCCAAGACTATTTTTGTGAGATAAAATAATATCCATCAATCAAATATTCATGGTCAATGCACAATACGTGTACAACGAAATTGAAAAGGCATTTTGGTTATAATCCCATCTTCTAGCAGAGTGTTTTATTGCTGCTGGCTGGGGAGTTGGAGCCCACACACCTTACAAGCTAGCAGGTTTGGAAAATCCTATTCTACAGCAGGAGTGTCCAACTCAACCTTGGCAACTTTAAAACTTGTGGACTTCAACTCCCAGAATTCCCCAGCCAGCATGAGCTGGCTGGGGAATTCTGGGAGTTGAAGTCCACGCCTCTTAAAGTTGCCAAGAGTACTAGGAACTGTTTTTAGAGCATGTACCAACTCACCTAATTTTGGCTCACACGCAGTTTTGATAAACATTCCTTCCACTTCCTCCTAAAAGTCATTAATCTTTTTTTAAAAAAAAATCAAACTTGAACCTCGTGGCACCCCATTTCACACCTCATTCCAGGCTGATGAGGAACTATGGATGACCGTATTTTGTGAGTAATGTTCAAGCCAGCTTCACATCCATTGTCATTGCTACGTCCTTCAGCCCACGCTGACTTTCTCACCTTTGTGGAGAGCTGTGCTGAAATCCAGATATATTACACTGGCAACGTTCCCACTATCTACTAGGGAAGAAACGTGATGGAGAAACAAGATAAGGTTCATCCGATGAGTTTGACTATTGACAGATACATAGAAACCACTAATAATTACTCCGCTGTTTATGGAGTGCTTGAACATAGGTTGCTGGGTGATCTGCTGTATACTGTATACTGATGTCACCCGGACTGGTCTGCAATTCCCAGGGTCCTTTCTTTTTCTCTTTGGAAAAGAGGGACTTCATTTGATGCTATTACAGAATTTTTGAAAGGTTCATAACAATTTACCCAAGCCTTTATTAGCCTAGGCGGTAATACATTTGAAATTAATTTAAAGTAGAGGTGGTCGGTCCTCAACTTACATCATTTTGTTTGGATATAGACAGATGAATAGATGAGATAGAGATAGATAGATAGATAGATAGATAGATAGATAGATAGATAGATAGATAGATAGATAGATAGATAGATAGATATTGATATAGATGATAGATAGATAGATAATTATTGATAGATATTATTGATAGAGATAGATGATAGACTGATAGAGAACTGGATGATATAGATAGATATAAATAGATGGATATAAATAGATGATAATGATTATATAAATAGATTAGACAGATAGACAGACAGACAGACAGACAGATAGATAGATAGGTAAGATAGATATTGATAGAGATAGATGATAGATAGATGGACAAATAGATGAATAAATAGACAGATAGACATATTGGTAAATAGATATTGATAGAGATAGATATCGATATACTGTAGATAGATGATAGATGATAGATAGATATTGATAGATTGAGAGAGAGAGAGAGAGAGAGATGATAGATAGATGGACAAATAGATGAACAAATAGACAGACATATATTGGTAGATAGATATTGATAGAGATAGATATCGATATACTGTAGATAGATGATAGATAGATAGATAGATATTGATAAATAGATAGATAGATAGATAGAGAGAGAGAGAGAGAGAGAGAGAGAGAGAGAGATAGTCAGAGAGAGAGGGACAGAAAGTGTGAATGTGGAAGGAACTGCCACCGGCACCAGCTTTGAATCCTGACCCCAGCCATCTCAGGGAGGGAGGGAGGTTTCCCAGGGGCGGCAGCCAGAGTAATTTATCAGTCCATGGGCCCACTTTCCCCAAAACCAGCCCGGCCTATTCTTCTGCTCCCTCCGTAGGGCTGTTGCTGCTGACTCCATTGTTATTCTGTCTGGCTGCCAAGCAGGGCCGTGTGTGTGTGTGTGTGTGTGTGTGTGTGTGTGTGTGTGTGTGTGTTTGTGTGTGTCGGTGAGCACGTTCCAGGCCTGGGCAGCCGAGAGAGAGTCGGGAAGAGCTGTCGTCCATCTCGGGACGGGGCGGGAAGCCCAGCTGTTTTGTTTCTCAGGCACGTCGTCGCCGGCCCCAAGGACCCTCTCGTTATCGGGAGAGACATTTGTTACAGCGGCTGCTGTGGCAGACAACATCTGGCGCTCGTAAATCTGGGCTTGGGTTGCAGGCTTCTGGGCTTCCCCACCCGATCCCAGGGCCACTTGGCCAGGAGCAGGTGCAGGATGGGGCGAGGAGGGAAGGGGGAGGCTGCTTACACCTTCTCCCCCACCCCGGGTTAAAAAAATAAAAATAAGAAAGAAAGTTAAAAAAAAGTTTTGTTTTTGCAGCTCTTAACTTTTCCAGGCTAAGATTACGTGACAAACGGCACAGGCGGGAAAAGAAAAAAAGGAAAAAAAAAAGAAACCATTTTCGGTCAATCAACATATCCGAACAGGGTTAAAACAGAGCCAGAAATACCGGCTAAGAAATGGTCTGATAAACCTGTGAGGAAAAAAAATATCTTATTTGGGGAAGGGGAGATTTCAAGAAAGAAGCTACCCCCCCCCACACACACACACACGGCAAGACTTATGGAGGATTCCTCTTTTTAAAACATGTTATGTACTGTTTTTAGGTTTGGAAATTTTATTTGTGTAACACCCAGAGTCCCACTGGGCCGGAGAGATGGTCGGTTTTGAAATTTGATAAATAAATAAAATACATCCCACTGTAGAAAGTTAGCACCCACCCCTCTCCTAGAAAAATGAAACATCTTAAGAAAATATTAAAAAGGCAGAATATTTCCCCTAAAAAGAGTAGAAGCAGAAATTCACCTCAGAAGCAGAAGCTCAGCCCCCCCCCCCCCCCCCCTCTCCCAATGGATGGGCCATTAAGGCCTGGGCCAGAATATTCTACATAACAAAGGTCTCCTCCAGGTAGAGCTATAATAGGAATTGCTCAAAGCCCTTTCGTTACATCATCACCCAGCAAGGCTCAACCAAGCCTGGAACTCAGGACAGCCTACAGAGTTGCCCCTGCGTGGCCTCATGGGAGTCTGACAACCAATCAGAATACAAGCTCCAATTCAAATCCCAACAGAGGGTATAAAACCCAGGCACTCTAATAATAATAATAATAATAATAATAATAATAATAATAATAATAATAGATCTTTTTTTATCTTTTCCTTCACCTGGAAGCATTTGATCATCCTTCCTTTTCACTTTGGAGCTTCAAGCCATGTGGTCCTGTCCACCATTAAACCATCTTTCCAAACAGCCTCCATGTTTCCAGTGTCTTTTTCCCCACTTCTACCCAGAAGGATTTTTCTTCCAACACCACATAGTCCAGAGTCTTTATGAATTTCTGTCCTTGAGTTACAAATTGCAAGTTGAAAGGACCGCTTGCTGGGAGAGAAATCGTGAACGACAAACTTAACCTAGTTATTAAAATAAACCAGAATTAATCTCTTTTTTTGTGTTCACACGTGCATCGACCCCTGGCGAAACCAAACAGGCTTGTTTTTAAAATGTTGTCAAGATCAATGTTATGGATTGGTCCCTGCAGTTTTCTTGGCAGGGTTTTTCAGAAGTGGTTTGGCCATTGCTTTCTTCCTTGGGCTGAGAGAGACAGACTGGCCCAAGATTTAAAAAAAAACGAACAACCAGCACCTGCATTTCCTGCATTGGATGAGGAGACCACATCTTTTTTCTTGTGTCCTGGCCACTTTTTACAGAGGCACCACCGAGAGCGTTTTAACAAACCGCATCCCTCTTTGGTTGGGTGGCCGCAGTGCCTCGGATGGAAAGTCCCTACAGAGAGTGGTGAGGACAGCGCATAACAGAGATCTCCAAACCTGGCAACTTTAAGACTTGTGGACTTCAACTCCCAGAGTTCCTCAACCAGCTGGCTGAGGAATTCGGGGAGTTGAAGCTCACATGTCTTAAAGTTGCCAAGTTTGGGGACCCCTGGCCTATAAAGCCTTAGTAAGGCCACACCTGGAATTGGTCCAGTTTTGGTCACCACACTTATTGCACACATATAGACTGGGTGAAACCAGGCTCAACAGCAGGAACTGGGAGAGGGATCTTGGAGTCTTAGTGGACAACCAGCTAAATAGGAGCCAGCTGTGTGCAGCAGCAGCCAAAAAAGCTAATGCAATCCTAAATTGTATTAACAGAGGGATGCAATCGAGATCAAGGGAGGTACTAATACCACTCTATAAAGCCTTAGTAAGACCACACCTAGAGTACTGCATCCAGTTTTGATCACCACGCTATAAAAAAGATGTTGAGGCTCTTGAAAAAGTGCCGAGAAGAGCAACCAGGATGATTAGGGGACTGGAGAGTAAAACATACGAAGAATGGTAACAGGAACTGGGCCTGGCTATTCTAGGGAAGAGAAGGACCAGGGGAGAGATGATATACTAGACAGGCAGGCAGACGGATAGATATCTCCTCTTTCAATAGCAAGAGCACTTAGACTTATATACCGCTCCACAGTGCTTTTACAGCCCTCTCTAAGCGATTTACAGTCAGCCTCTTGTATCCCAACAATCTGGGTCCTCATTTTACCAACCTCAGAAGGACGGAAGGCTGGGTCAACGTTGAGCCAGTCAGGATCGAACCCTTGACAGTCAGGAGAATTAGCCTGCAGTGCTGCATTCTAACCACTGCGCCACCAACCCCCTGCAATTCTTTCAAGGCCACTTTTTCTAGCGGGTGATTACTTTCGAAGGATTCTCGCGGAGAAAACAGAAGGTTAAAAACATTTCGTTTTCAAGATCAGGCTAAAGGGCACTAAAGATAACCTCCTTTTCCCAAGAGCTGACAATCCGACGCCTTCAAATGTTGTAAAATTTGGGTAGGCCAGCAGCTGCACTCACTTGTAGCATGTCCCACCTGCACAGATACACTTTCTCCAAATGTGGAGGTTCCACTCAAGTTATCCAGTTACATAGGTGCAACATTTGTCTGTTTGTTTATATCCCATCTTTATTAATTTTGCAAACAACCCATACCCAAACCATTTTCCTCCTCCCATTTTCCCCACAACAACAACCCTGTGAGGTGGGTTGGGCTGAGAAAAAGAGACATTGTCTCAAAATCACCCAGCTGGCTTTGATGGCTAAGGCAGGACTTGAACTCACAGTTTGAACTCCTGCTTTCTAGCTTGATTGCCTTAACCCGGGGATTGTTCGGACCCACGCCCTTTTCCAACAAATCAAACACAATCCAAAGGGAACAGAAACCTTGTAATGCTTTTGCAAAATAATTAGCTGTGATAAGCACAAGCCTTGCCAAACTGTGCGAGACTTGCCAAAAGATAACAGACAAGAAATAATTTGCAATACGAGAATCTTCAAATACAAATTCAGGATACTGGAATGTCCACGAGGCTGAGTTTCAAAACGTTTTTGCTTCCTGCAAAGAAAGTCCAATTCACAGCTGGCTTTTATCTTCTTGAAGGAGGGGCCATTACTCCAGAGTCACCCGTGCTGTTGCAGCTGCTCTTTCCTGCGAGCAACCCTGCACACACGCGCACTTGACACAGGCTCCTTGGGAACCTCCTCATCGCTGCTGCCAGCCCCCCCACCATCTCTGAAAGCAGCAGTCCACTCCCTGATGGTCCTGGCCCCTCATCTGAGCCCTCGCTCTCCTCAGCCATCCGCACCTGCTGCTGACTAACCACAACAGGGATCTCTAAACTTGGTCACTTTAAGATTTGTGGACTTCAACTCCCAGAATTCCTAAGCCAGCAGCGCTTACTCTCTTGCGATCCCTTCCTCTGCAATCTCTCTCCACTTTAGGAGAGTTAAGAGAAAAAAGAAACAGACATGGCTGGCTGGGGAATTCTGGGAGTTGAAGTCCCCAAGTCTTAAAGTGGCCAGATTTGGAGACCTCTGCCTTAACCGTTAGACTAAAGACTTTGTGGACTTCAACTCCCAGAATTCCCCAGCCAACCATTCTGGGAATTGAAGTCCTCAAGTCTTGCCATATTTGGAGACCCCCGCGCTAGATCCAGCAGGCTAACCCTCTTCCCCACACCCCAAAATTTCCTTAATTGACCCGATTATACAGAGAATGCCCTCACTTGCCAGAGATGTCTGTGTGTGCCATCTTCAGGGTTTTTCTCAACAACCCTGGAGAAATTTGGGGTTCACTTTCCTTCACACACACACACACCCCAATTCACCAGTGGCTTGTCGTTCTTTTTTCCTTGGCTCTGCTAGGGGGCAGTAGCGAGCCAACTTTTGCTAATCTGAAAAAGGAAAAAAAAAACGAATCAGAAATTCTAAAAATGGTCACTGCTGTAGGCTAAACTCCGATTAAAAGAAAAATCTTAAGTTTTGTATCCTGGAAAGGAAATTACGTAGGAGTCACCAAGGGTGAAACATGACTTTAAAAGAAATCTGACGTTCCCTTTCTATCAGAGGCCAGATTCGTTGCTTTGTGCGACTCCACGGCTCAGCTCAATGACTTTAAGATGGGTGGACTCCAACTCCCATAATTCCTCAGCCAGCCATCTTAATATGGATGAGGTTGAGAAACGCGGCTCTAATAGAATAATCAGGAACAGTGTTGGGAAAGACTGTGGATTTCTTAAGAATAAGAAATAGCAATAGCACTTATGATTTATATGCCGCTTCACGGTGCTTTTACAGCCCTCTCTAAGCGGTTTTAGAGAGTCAGCCTCTTGCACCCAACCATCCGGGTCCTCACTTTACCAACCTCTGAAGGACAGAAGGCTGAGTCAACCGTGAGCTGCTCAGGATCAAACTCCTGGCTGTGGGCAGAGCCAACCTGCAATGCTGCCTTCTAACCACTGCACCACCATGGAAGGAAGGAAAGACGGAAGGACGGAAGGAAGGAGAGAGGGGGGGGAGGGAGACAGGGCCAGGAAGGAAGGAAGGAAGGAAGGAAGGAAGGAAGGAAGGAAGGAAGGAAGGAAGGAAGGAAGGACCGGAGAGAGGGTAGTTGGGAGAGGAAGGAAGGAAGAGCACTTAGACTTATATACCGCTTCACGGTGCTTTCCAGCCCTCTCTAAGCAATTTACAGAGTCAGCCTATTTCCCCCCAACAATCTGGGTCCTCGTTTTAACCATCTCGGAAGAATGGAAGCTGAATCAACCTTAAGCCGATCAGGATCGAACTCCTGGCAGTGGGCAGAATTAAGCCTGCAATAGTGCATTCTAACCACTATGTGGCACCACCACGGCTCTTATATATCAAAGGAATGCCAATATGTCATTCTTTGCAATGTCATTTTCAAACGAAGAGAGGGTCTTTATAAGTGTAGTATCTTAAAATAAAATGAATGTCTTTTATTTTTTTCTTTTATGTACATTGAGAGCATATGCACTAAATTCCTTGTGTGTCTTGGTCAATAAAGCTATTATATTCTAATTCTAATTTTATTCTATTCTATATTCAGTTCTATTCTTCATCCCAATATTCTATATTCTATTCTATATTCTATTCAATTCTTTTATATTATATTCTATATTTTGTATTCTATTCTATTCTATTCTTCATTCCAATATCCAATCTAATCCATTCTATTCTATTCTGTTCTGTTCTATTCTATTCTATATTCTATATTCTATTTTGTTCTATTCTATATATTACCTATCTCTAAATTTTTGTTTGTTGGCTTGGTGCATTGCCCCCTTGCTGTTTGTTTGGTTGAAAAATAGCCGTTGATTTAATCCCACCCCTGCTTTTCAAAAAGATGCTTTTGTACAAATCCTTAACCTTTAATTTCATTTGTAATGTATTGATTAAATTTATCGGCTGCCCATCTTATCCCAGGCAGGGTAACTCTGGGAGACTTTACAATATTCAAAAGATAAAACTATATATATATATATATATATATATATATATATATATATATGTGGATCTTTGGTTGTTCGGGTTTTCTCCCGCGTAAGATTCGAAGTATCTAGGCAACGTTTCGATGAAGTCTCATTCATCATCTTCAGGCTTCTGTCTCCGGCTCTGTGCTTTTCAGAGTAATGTGAGATTGCAGCTGCTTCCTCCTTTTAACTGCCAGTGGGGGTGGGACTTGATTGGGTGGGGGCTTGGCTGTGTTCTGATTGGGTGGGGGTGTGTTCTCATTGGTAGGGGGTTTGGTTGTGTTCTGAAAACAAATATATATATATATATATATATATATACAGAAGCCTGATGATGGCAGATGAGATTCTGCCGAAACGTCGCTACAACTTTAAAAGCACAACTACAATAACGTGGGAAAATACCCGAACAAAGCCGAATGCCGTATATATATATATATATATATATATATATATATATATATGTATATACACACAAACACACACACACACATACACACATACACACACACACACCACCTGTAAGCAATGCAAGTAAAATAGTGTAAAAATAGAAATACTTTTAAAATGTACGTCAAGAACGTTCTTTATTTTTCTGATAGGCTGATAGCGCCAGGCTGTTTTTCTTGTCCCTTCCTAATGGCCCCGCATAGGTTGGACATTAATTGCACAGTTATGCACACAGTACCACACAAAGACACCTAATTTCCTCCTTTTACCTTTGCAACCCTGTTCAGTTTAAAGAAATGGTGTTAACGGCCTTGGGGCAGTTGCTCTGTAAATACTTCTGACCGCAACTGGTTTTTCGGTAACTGGCCCCCCACCCATATGTGGGTAATTCTAGATAAGGGGCACCGGTGACAACATCAGGCACTCTGGAAGTGACACCCAGCCTCTGCAAAAGGCAAGTCGGGGCGGGCAGGAAGAACCAAAAAAGGCCAAGCCAACTGCCCCCACTACTGGTTGCAAACTTTACTACTGGGGAAAGGAAAGGTGAAAAATTGAGGTTTTTCTAAGACGGGGGTCTCGAAACGTGGTCATTTTAAGACTTTTAAGACTTCATCTCCCAGAATGCCCCAGCCAGCCAGCCGTGTCTGTTTCTTTTTTCTCTTAATCTCCTAAAGTGGAGAGAGATTGCAGAGGAAGGGATCAGAAGAGAGTTAGCTATGCTGGCTGGGGGATTCTGGGAGTTGAAGTCCACAAGTCTTAAAATGGCGAGGTTGTAAGAATAGAATAGAATAGAATAGAATAGAATAGAATAGAATAGAACAGAACAGAATAGGAGTAGAGTAGAGCAGAGCAGAGCAGAGTAGAATAGAATGCAGACTAGAAAAGAGAATAGAACAGAACAGAATAGAATAGAATAGAATATTGGAATGAAGAATAGAAGAGAAGAGAATAGAGAATAGAAATAGAACAGAATAGAATATAGAATAGAATAGAATAGAATAGAATAGAATAGAATAGAATAGAATAGAATAGAATAGAATAGAATATTGGAATGAAGAATAGAATAGAATAGAGACTAGAATAGAAATAGAATAGAAATAGAACAGAACAGAATAGAATATAGAATAGAATAGAATAGAATAGAATAGAATAGAATAGAATAGAAT